TTTTATTAAAAATTTTGTACATAATTGAATTCTTTTGGAAAATTTTATTAAAATAATAGATTTCTTCAAAATCATCAAATTAAGGAAAATTTTTGAAAATAATTGAAATTTTGACAAGAATTTTATTAAAATTTTTGAAAATAATTGAATTTCGGAAAAGAATTTTATTATTTATAAAGATAATTGAAATTTTGCAGAAAATTTTGAACATAATTAAATTTTTGTTAAGAATTTTATTACTTTTAAAATAATTGAATTTATCAAAAAATTTTCTATTTTTAAAAATAATTGAATTCTTTCAAAGAATTTTATTAAAATTTCTGAAAATAATTTCAATTCTGCAAAGATATTTACTACTTTTGAAAATAATTGAATTTAACAAAGAACTTTTCAATTTTTGAAAATCATTGAATTCTTTCGAAAAATTTTATTAAAATTTCTGAAAATAATTGAATATCTGCGAATGATTTTATTACTCTTGAAAACAATTGAATTTCTGCAAAAAAATTGTAACTTCTCTAAAATTAAATTTTTTTTAGTGTTAATTAAAATTTTTCTATAAATCCATTATTTTTAATAATTTTTAAAAAACAATTTCGAATATTTTCAAATTCATTTGTTTTTTTAATAGAAATTCATTTTAAAATCAATTTTTATTAGAAAATTCTACTAGAATTCAATTATTTAAACACAAAAAAAAATAATTAATTGAATATTTGAATGAATTTAAAAATTGAATTCTTATAAAGATTTTTATCAACAACTTTTTAAATAATTGGATATTCGTTTAGCGAATTTAAATAAAATTTTTAATAATAATAATTACATTTATCGAGGAATTCGATAAAAATTTTATTCAAAATAATTGAAATTCTACGATGAGTTTAATTATTTATGAAAATAATTGAATTCCTAAAAAGAATTTTATTATTTAGAAAAATAATTGAATCTCTGCAATAATTTCAGTTTTTATAAAAATAATTAAACTATATTGCGAAGAAATTTATAAAAAAAATTTGTAAATATTGGAATTATTGTAAAATTTTTTCTATTTTATGAAAATAATTAAATGTTTGCGTAGAATTTTATTTAAAAAATTTTAAATAATTGAATTCTTTTGGAAAATTTTGTATTGGAAATTATTAAATTAGGGAAAATTTTTGAAAATAATTGAAATTTTGCAAAGAATTTTTATTGAAATTTTTTTAAATAATTGAATTTTGGAGAAGAATTTTATTATTTATAAAGATAATTGGAATTTTGACGAAAATTTAAAAAAAATTTTGAACATAATTGAATGTCTGCGAAGAATATTATTACTTTTGAAAAGAATTGAATTTTTGCAATCATTTATAATTTCTTTGAAATTCTCCAAATTATAACATACAATTCTATAGAATATTCACTAGAATTCATATATAGAATGATTCTAATGAAATTCTATAGAACTTTTTCATTTGGGAAGAGAAAATTTTGTAAAAGAAAGACTTAGTCCCCCCAAGTTCTTATAAAATAAAATGAAAATTTAAAAAATCCAAAATGAATCTCTTTTCTAAAGTTTTTTCTCTCATGAGGAGGGAAGGAAAAAAATGCAGTTAGGTTGATAAATTCAAGGTGTAATATGCCTTTATATTGGATTTGCTTAATCTTCAAGAATGAATAATTCCAGCTAGTTTTCAAGGAAAATGGTCTTCCACTTGCATCTGAAGAAGCCCCTGACGTTAGCGCCATCTTTCAAAGAGCGGAAAATTTAAATCTACGTCACGTTCCACTGATGAGTTTAGACATTCAAATTTTCTTTAAAAAAAAAAAAACCCACGTGTATCACTTATGTGAAAATATTATTATTAAAAGTTAATTTATAAATTATTTCCTGCTTTTTCTATTTTTTAAAATTAATAATGAAATATTTGAAAAAAAATTCCATCGAGTTTTACATTGTTCTACACGAGTATCTATGTAGAATTTCTTGAAAGTTTTGAAATGACTTTGACAGCTGAAAGAAATACTTCGATACGAAAATTACGTAACAATGTACAAAGTACATATAAATTTTAAACTACAAGAACTTGGAAATTGAATTCGAAGCTTTCATAAAATATTGAAAATAGAATCTCAGAACTACAAGTTACATGGAGGAGAAAGCTTTATAAACAATGAATGATAGATGAGTCAATTTCCGGAAAACGAAAAAAGTACAAGTTTCTATCTTGTTTCCCGTTAAGTTGGTTCTTTCTGTAGCTTCTTGGATTCACATCCCATCCAAGTATTCTCAACAGAATTGCTGGCTTTGACGTTCGTGGCAAATCCATGGGAGAACAAAAAAAAAAATAAGGTTTGTGAAAAAAATTTATCCCGAAGTGGTCTTTCAACTGCGACAGTTCAATCTTAATAGGAGTCACCAGAACTTGACCTGGTAATTTTAGGACAATTTTCTAAAGGTCTTGAAGAGTAAAAAAAAATCTGTTTTTTGTATTTGGAATAGGTGGAATTTTTTTCACGAAATTGTTTGAAAGAAGAAAAGAAATAGAAAATTGTTAGTCAATAAACCACAACAGGGTTAAAGGATTCATTATAAAAAATTTGAAGATTTATTTAAGTATTATTTTAAATTTTATCCATTTTTATGGAATAAGGAATAAAATTCCTTTTACTCAGAATAAAAAGAGGCTAAAAACAAGCCTAAAGAAAAACATTCTTTCTACCAGAATATTTTGGATCGAAAATAATAAAATCTTAGTCAGAAGAACTTTTCACTCAACAATTACTTCTACAATTGAAAAATATATTTAAAACTATAAAAAAAAATTACTTTTACATTTTATTTTCAATACAGGAATATTCAACTACAAATAAGACGATAATTTATAATCTTTATTTTTTGATTGATATTAATTATTTACATTTAAAATTTTTTTTCTATAATTAAAATTATTATTTACTTGAACAGAGAATATTTTTTTAAAATAAGCACCTGATGGGAAAAGTTATTAATTAATAATTATTGTTATTTATTACTATTTAGAATTCATTCATTATTGTAACTTATAATATTATTCATTCTGCAATTGTAAAGCAACAATTTAACATCACCATCATGTGATGTACTTTATTCGCTTCATTTCGTTTATGAGCGAATTGTCTAAATTCTAATTAATTACAAATCATAATTTTTTGATATAAGAAAGAAAAAATATTACAAAATTAGGATAAAATTATGATTAGAAATTAATTAGAAAAATAAATAAATGGATTATCAAATAAAAAAATTGAATAATAATTCAGTAGTTGAAGTCATTTTTAATCGGACAAAATATTTTTGAACACTTGTATATTTATAAATTAGTAGTTACAATCAGTTTGAGTCAGACGAAATATTTCTAAAATATTAATTTTAGAAACCAGAAGTTTAAGTAATTAAAATTATTAAAGAAAATTTCTTAGCACTTGTAAAATTATAAATTAGTAGCTAAAATCAGTTTTAGTCGGACAAAATATTTCTAAACACCTGTAAATTATTAATTATAGTAATTAAAATGAGTTTTAGTCGGACAAAATATTTCTAAACATATGAATTTTAGAAATTAGTAGTTTCAGTCAGTTTTAGTCAGACACAAAATGTATAATATGCAAATTTGAGAAATTAATAGTTAAAGTCATTTTTAGTCAGCTAAAAAATTTTGTAACATTTGTAAATTTATTAATTTGCAGTTAAAAATAATATTTCTAAACATCTGAATTTTAGAAATCAGTAGTTATAGTCATTTTTAGTCAGACAATTTTTTTTTTACTTTGTTGAACAGTTCTAAACAAATTTAATTCTGAAATCTGTAGTTAAAGTGATTTTTACTTAGACACAATATTTCTAACTATTTGTAAATTTATAAATTAGTAGTTAAAACCAGTTTTAGTCAAACAAAATATTTCCAAACATATGAATTTTAGAAATTAGTAGTTAAAGTCATTTTTTGCCAGACAAACGTTTTTATTATCTAATTATATTTAATTTAGAAATGAGTAGTTAAAATCAGTTTTAGTCAGACAAAATATATCTAAACTATAAACACTTGTAAATTTAAAAATTAGTAGTTAAAATCAATTTTAATCTGAAAAAATATTTCTTAACACTTGTAAATTTATGAATTAGGAGTTAAAATCAGTTTTAGTCAGACACAATATTTTTAAGCACTTGTAAAATATACATTAGTAGTTAAATAATTTTTAAACAGACAAAAATATTTCTAATCATATAAATTTTAAAAATCAGTAGTTAAAGTCATTTTTAGTCAGACGACTTTTTTACTCTAACGATCAATGCTAAATATATGTTATTTTGAAACAAGTAGTTGAAATCAGTTTTAATCAGACATAATATTTCTAATCATATGAATTTTAAAAGTTAGTAGTCAAAGTCATTTTTAGCAAGACAAACTTTTTTGTATTTATAATTTAAATATATGTTATATAGAATAATGTGTAGTTAAAATTAGTTTTAGTCTGAAGAAAAAAAATTGAAACATGTAATTTTAAAATCAGTATAGTTAATGTCATTTTTAGTCAGGTAAAATATTTTTAAACACTTGTAAATTCAAAAATTACTAATTAAAATCATCTTTAGTCAGACAGAATATTTCTAAGCACTTCTAAATTTGTGAATTAATAGTCAAAATCAGGATTATTCAAGAGAACAATTCGAAACATATTTAATTTAGAAATTAGTAGTTAATTTTGAATCAGCTTCGAAGGATATAAATTTGTGATACTTACAGTTGATTCAAATTTGAATCCTGACCCCCTAACAACCCTGTTATTATGAAATATATAAATTTCAATTTTTAACGATTAACAATTATAATATAAAATGAAGTTAGTTGATGAATTTTCAACAAAGCCTTTAACAAATATAAAGTTGTTTCTTGTAGAGCCGCGAAGCATTTGTTTGGCTTGTTAACACGTTGAAACACATTAACTTAAAAGCAACAACTAAATTTATGTTTTAGAGCGTTTACAATTTACTGGGAGAGACGCTGTCTCGACTACAACAGTACGCTGAGGCTGAGAAGTGGTTTCAGGCAAGTTTAGCCAGTCAGCCAGACCACGTGCCTGCCCACATCACTTATGGGAAATTGCTAGCGCGAAATGTAAGTTTGACCAGACATAAATTCATGACCTTTATTCGTCATTGAGACGACCAACATTTCCACCCCCCCCCCTCTCTTCATCTCATTTTTTTTTCTTTCTTTCCACTCTTATCGACAATTCACCCTCTTACACTTGAAAATCCCCCTTTCACCTATCCCAGTCCTTATCTCTTTCAGCCCCCATTCCTTGAACGTGGTTCTTCGACAACTTTGCAGCTCCATTCTCTTCTACTCAGGTAGGAAATGAAATTTCTTTAGAGCTCTTTCTTTTCAAGGCACACGATGAAAGTAGAGAAAAATGTACTTCCTCATTGCTAGATTATTTTTAGAATTAAAGTCAATTCTTGTCTCGCAATTTAATTCTAAATAAAATGGGGAATTCAAGCTTCTGAGAAAACATTCTGACGTGACTCACTCAAAGGTTAGGTGCTTTTGTAACAATAACGAGTTACTACGATTTTTTTTTCAATGGTACTTGTGCAGAAAATGAGATTACTTCTTTCTATTAAAATTACAATTCTACTTCAGTTTAACGAAAAAAAGAATTTAATTTCACGAGGGGAAAATATAAATTGCTCTTTGGAAATTTTCAATTCCTGACTATTTCATATTTTTTAGTGTAAATAGAATTTTTTTTTCTTTACATCGCTATGGCATAAAAAAATTCCTCCTCTCCTTTTCTCTTCTTTTTTTGTTTTGATAAAAAATACATTTAATCTTGTCATTGGCGAATTGTTGTTTGAGAGAAAACAAACCCCCAGCTAAAAATGTTCTATAGAATTTCACTAGAACGATTGTATAGAATTTCTACATGAATTTTACTAATCTTTAGTGATTTTTAATTAGAAAGAATATAAATATTGTGAAAAATTTTTTTTTTAACATTATATTAGTGTATGGTTAGTACAGGATTAGAATTAGGTCCGTAAATTTCGTAAAGGTCCGTAAATTTGCTTCAAATTCGTAAAAGTCCGTTTTTAATAAAAAAAAGATCCGTAAAGTCCATAATTTGATTGAAAAAGGAGGAAAAGTTCGTAAATTATACTATAAAATTTTGAGAATTTTAGAGAAATTACAAATGATTACAGAAAGTCAATCATTTTCAAAAGTAATAAATAATTCTTTGCAAAATTTCAATTATTTTCAAAAATTTTCGTCAATTTAATGATTTAAAATATATCTATTATTTTAATAAAATTTTCTAAAAGAATTTAATTATTTAAAAATTTTAATAAAATTCTACGCAAGAAATTAATTATTTTCATAAAATATAAAAATTTCACAAGAATTACATTATTTACAAATTTTTTTTTTCGATAAATGTTATTATTATTATTAAAAATTTTATTAAAATTCGTCAAACATATTCAATTATTTAAAAATTTGTTGATAAAATTCTTTATGAGAATACAAGTTTTAAGAAACATTCAAATATTTAATAAATTATTTTTTGTATTTAAATAATTGAATTCTAGTTGAATTTACTAATAAAAATTTATTTAAAAATAAATTTCAGTTAAAAACAAATGAATTTGAAAATTCTCAAAAAACTACTTCAAAAATTATTAAAAATATTGAATTTATAGAAAAATTTTGGTTAACACTAAAAACAAATTTAATTTTGGAGAAGTTACAAATTATTGCAGAAATTCAATTATTTTCAGAAATTTTAATAAAATTCTATGCAAAATACAATTATTTTTTAAAGTAATAAAATTCTTCGCAGAAATTCAATTATTTTCAAAAATTTTCCCCAGTTAAATGATTTTCAATATATCTATTATTTTAATTATTTTTTGTATTTAAATAATTGAATTTTAATAGAATTTTTTAATAAAAATTGATTTAAAAATGAATTTTAGTTAAAAACAAATGAATTTGAGAATTTTAAAAAAACTTTTTTAAAAATTATTAAAAATAACAATTAAAATAATAATTTAATTTTAAGAAACATTCAATAAATTATTTATTTTTGTATTTAAATAATTGAATTCTAGTAGAATTTTCTAATAGAAATTAATTTCAAAATGAATTTCAGTTTAAATTTTAGATATAATAATTGAATATTAAAAGCAATATAGCGTGAAATTTTAGAAATAATTGAATTTTGAAATGAATTTTTTTGGAAAAGTGTAATTGAATTTTTTTTTATATTATTTGAAGTTTTTATTTTTTAATATATATTTAATTGAAGAATTTACGAATAATTGAAATTTCTAAAATTGAATATTGTTAATAAATGATTTTTGAAAATTTTAGAAGAACTTTTTTGAAAATTAATTGATTTATAGAAAAATTCTTAAAAATAATAATTGAATTGAAATGATGAAAATAATTTTAAAGAAGTACAATATTCTTATAATATAAAATAATGATTTTATCAGTTTGCCATCTTTAATTATTATAAAACATGAAGATGTCGATCACTTTGGGTCGAAGACTTGGAGTGATCGATTTCTTCATGTTTTATGGTTATGAAAAAATTTAATTTATTCTTTTAAGCAAAATATAATTTTTTTTGGTCTGTATTTTTAAATACTTTCATTTTAATGAATTTTATATATTTAAATGATATAAACAATTTTTGCCTAAAATTTGTCGTAGAAATCAAATGTAAAATTTAATTACACAACAATATAAAGTTAAAAAATATTATTTCACGAATTTAAATTCTTTCTAATTAAAAATCACTAAAATTTAGTAGAATTCATGTAGAAATTCTATAGAATCATTCTAGTGAAATTCTGTAGAATATTCACTATAGAATTCATATAAAATGATTTTAATTAAATTCTATAGAACTTTTTTAACTGGGACTTTTCAAAAAAAGGAGAAAAACAAAAAAGAAATACCTAAGTTAATAGCTTTTTAATTTTTAATTAACCACCACTAGGACTAAAACTGAAAAATCAAAATACTAAATAAATAAAATTATTTCTCCTTTAATTTTTTGGTTATCCGACCTTAGTGTCAATATCCTGAATCAATTATTGTTTCTCAAGTATTCGCCGAATACTATTGAAAAACGATTATTGATTCAGGATAATGTCACTGAAAAATTTTGCAAAATTTTTCATTTCTTTTATATATTACATTTACTGCCCTATCTGGAATATTGACCACAATTTCCTCCTTCTTTCATGGAATAATTTCCTTTTTAAGCATTACAATACAATAGAATACAATACAACACAATACAATACAATACAATAATGTACAATGGCTGTAATATAATGATCGTCATAAAATAACCAAGTATAATAATATAGTAATAGAACAATAGATTGATAATATTGTGTACGTATATTAAAAATTAATAAATACCTACATAAAAAATCAAAATCTATAATTAATTCAAATAAAAACAATAAAAATACGTATTTTGATATTTAAAAATTAAAATTTCATTGAATATATAATTGCTAATAATGCTGTCCATAAATTCAACGTCCAGAATCCATTAGGAACAATGGCCTTCAAGGATTGTTTGTGATTTTATGTAAATCTGTTCTGACTAAGCTCACACTGTTAACAATTGGCTTGTTCAACGATCTAATCACGCTTGATGTTTGCCTTACAGTCCAGTCGTGTTTTGGAAGCTGAGAGGTGGTTTCTGCGCGCCAGGAGATTAGCTCCCGAAGACCCAAGCGTACATTATCATTATGGTAAGAACAACAGTTGCACACATCAACATATATACGTCATGTTCTGAAATTAATTAAATTTTTACCCCATGTAATTGAATATACACCATGTTAATGTAATGTAATATATATTATTTCAAATAATTTACGTTTGGATTATAACATTATATTTTCACATGTTTTCACCTCATTGAGCAATTTTAGTCGAATTATTAATTTATAATTCACCTAATTAACCTCTTCATTTATTAATCTCTTTTCCATGTAATTTTGCAATTATTGCTAATATTGGCCATTAACAAATAATCCATCTGAATATATTTAAATTTACCTCAATTCGTTGAAATTGATTCGTTAATTATGGTCCTGTTACTATTAATTTATCTGGGTGGAAAAAAGTATTAAATATACCGATAATTAAATTGGTATACATTATAACTGAAGTACAGAAAATATTTATTAATTAAATAATTAAACTTGTGATTTATGTAATAAATATTAATGTTCTTTATAAAGTTTTCATTTTCTGAGTAAAGTGGAAAATGTACTTAATTTTGAAAAACTATTATTCCAGCATAGCAATTAATTTAATAATTAATAATCCCGTGTTCTGCTCTCGGTCTGACCGAAAACAGCTTTTACTACTTTGGATGACATTGTCAGTTATATCTACTACTAACCAACGTCCGACGATATCGCTTTTCTCTCTCTCTCTCTATCTCTCTCTCTTTTGCTTCTGGTGAAAACAAGGCAATGGTACTAATATTCAATTTTCATATTTTCCATTTTTTCATAATACATTTTTTTCTGTCATTATAAAAAAACATCAAATAACACATTTTTTATATCTAATAACAAAATAAATAAGTGTTATCTAATTTTTCGTGTAGAATTCGAAGAAAATTCTTCCAGCACATAAAAAATTTTAAATAAAAACTCTTTTTGAAGTTAATATATGAAAAGTAGGATATTAAGTCTGACTAAAACTTATCTTTACTACTTATATTTTGGAAACATACGAATAATAAGATATGACGTCTGACTAAAACTTGTTTTTACTACTTATAATTTATCGAAATACGAAAAATAGGATATTATGTTTGACTAAAACTTTTTTTTACTACTTAATTGAGAGAAATAATAAAACCTTTTCAAAATTTAATTATTTCTTAAAATTAATTTTATAATGCTTTTAATATTCAATAATAATCTAAAATTTTAACTGAAATTCATTTTTAAATCAATTATAATTAGAAAATTCTACATTAATTCAATTATTTAAATACAAAATTAAATAAACAATTAATAAACAATTAATTAAACAATATTTGTTAACAAATTTTAAAATAATTTAATTCATTTGACGAATTTTAATAAAATTATTTTAGAAATAATAACATTTTTCTAGGATTCCGATTAAAATTCAAAATTGTATTAGAAATAATTTAAATTCTGGTATGATTCTTATTATTTATGACTTGGTTTTACTACTTAATTGAAAAATAGAGTATTAGGTGTGACTAAAAATTGTTTTTACTACATAATTTAGAAAAATAAAAAAATATTATATTACGCCTGACTGAAACTTGTTTCAACTACTTAATTGAGAGAAATACCAAGAATAGAATATGATGTCTGACTAAAACTTGTTTTTACTACTTACCTAATGTGGAAAAATACAAAAAATAGAAAATTATATTTTTGACTAAAACTTGTTTCAACTACTAAATTGAGAGAAATACCAAGAATCAAATATGACGCCTGACCAAAGCTTGTTTTTACTACTTAATTAAGAGAATTACCAAAAATAGGAAATTATGTCTGACTAAAATTTGTTTTACTACTTAATTTAAGAGAAATACGAAAAATAGGATATCAAGTCTACATAAAACTTGATTTTACTACTTAATTTAAAAAAGTACAAAAAGTAGGATAGGAAGACTGACTGAAATTTATTTTTACTATTTATTTTAGAACAATACGAAAAATTGAATATTACGTCTGACCAAATCTTGTTTTTACTACTTATTTTGGAAAAATATGAACAATAGGTTTTGACTGAAGCGATACAATCTCATGAGAGATTGACTCCTGGAAAATGTTACCGGTCCGACTTCAAAGTATTTCCAAAATTTAATTATTTTCGTGTTCTCAATATTCGGCTAAGAGTGGGGCTTGGCGGGTTGAATCGCGGGGTCGATGAAAAGTGCGATTGATTAATTTATTAATTGACTTTCGCAATTCATCGACACGGGATCAACAGCGGCTACGCTCTCACGTGCCGGCCGAGGACACGGAAGGTAGTTTTTTTCTTAAATTCAAATTTATTTAAAAATTCAGTTTATTATTTTTTGTTTTGTAAAATATGTGTTTCTTTTTGTGTTAAATATAAAGTGTGGCCGTTAATGACCATTGGATACGGATTTAATAAAATGAAGATAATTATTTATAATATTGGACGAATATGGTGACTTGGAAGTCGGAACCGGTCGGGAAACCAAAATCTTCCTCAGCAGAACGAGTATTCTTTGCCAACTGTTGGGTGACTCGTAAGTGCACGACCGTAATTAATAAAATGGCCCTGGAGATTTCAGGTGCACAAATTTATAAATTTTGATAATTAAAATTAAATTATTATTTAAAAATGTCTATGTCTGATGGTATAAAAGAAAGAGAGTGATTTTAGTCGTGTGATGAATTGCGAATTATTCTTTTTAATTATTTTGTTTATTAATTTATTATTTTGATTGATTTCTTTTTAAATATTGTTATTTGGATGTGCGTATGTTTGTGTGTCTATTTGTCATTTTATTTTCTATACTTGTATAAATCCCTGACGTCAGGCCTATTTGAATTAAAGTTTTGACGGAAATATACATTTTATTTCTTTTTGTAAATTATTTGTGTGTTTATTAATCGAGTATTTTGTAATTTTGTGCAATTTCATTGTTTTATTTTATTATTTTAAATTCTTTGTTTTATAATTTTTATTGTTTTTGTATTTTGTATTGTCGCGGTTTTTATTTATTTTCATGAAATAAGAAAATCGTTACATTTTGGCGCCCGAACAGGGACCAGACGCGTGCCCAACTTTTTTATTGTATTCTATAAATTTGAAAAATTTTATTGTTTATTTGAACGTTTAGAAAATATTTGAAAACTTATAAATTTTGTATAATGATTATTTTCTGTAATTATATAACGGTAAAATGAATGTATGATTTTTGTGTATATGAATGAGCAATTTGTATTATTTTCGATCGTTAGACTTGAAACAATAGCGCTGACAAAGACAGAAGTAAAACAAAGAGAAGGTGACAAATGTAATTAGCAAATTTTATTTTTGATTTCTGAACTTAAATTATTTTGACAATTTTGAAAATGAATGTGAACAACGAAATATTTATTGGAATGATTTTGCGAAAATTAAATAAAAATAATGATTGTTGTCGAGATTGTGCCAATCGAGTATTCGAAACTCTCAATGATGCATTTAAAACTTTTAATTTTAATTTTGAAAAATTTGATTTAGGAGAATTTGAAAATCCGCATTATTTTCTTGAACGTATTGATAAATTCTTTGTTTTGAATAGAATTTCTATAGATGAGCAGTTAACTATTTTGAAATATTTATTGCACGGCAAGGTGAAAACTTGGTTTCACATACAACAATCTCCGTTTATTGATATAAACGACTTTAAAATTAAATTTTTAAATTATTTCTTTTCAATTCCGATTCAAGTTAACTTTAAATTAAAATGGTATTCACGACGTTTCATTCCCAAAAGGGGAAATTTGCAGTCTTATTTTATGAATCAGATCTATGAAGCACAATATTTGTTTTCGGAAATGGATATTGGTGAAATTTTCTATAGAATAATTCAGCAGATGCCTAATCGCGTAAAGGATGCATTGGTAACTGTTGATTATTTAAATTTTGATAAAATTTTACAGTCTTTGGTAAATTTAGATTTGATTTATCAAGATAAACAAAATGCTCGAAACAATGAATGCAAAGATTTTTTAAATTATGCACCTCCTTTGATGCCTTTGTCATGCATGGATTTTGGGAAATTGGAGCAATCAACTAAAAATTTGAATATTAATGATAATGATGGTAGTAGTCAAGAAAGTTTAAGGGGGATCGATAAAAATGCTGTTTATAGGGGGATTGAATTTACAAATTTTGATTCGACAATCAGTCTCACTGAGCATGTTTGTGAAAAAGATTTTGTAAATAACACAAAATTATATAATATTGATGATTTTGATTTTCAAATGAATATTAATTATTGTAATAATTCGATGAACGATAGTGGAATTGATTTAGAGATCGAAGAATCTCAAATTAATCAAAGTCAGGAAAATTCTAGGGATGAAGTTCGGGGTCAGACGACAGATGATCTGAATTCCACTTCGGAAGAATATTCTCCTGAAAGAAAGAATATAATAAACGATAAATTTTGTGATTTTTATAATGAAAAATTTTGTACTGAGAAATTGTTTGATTATTTTTGTTTGTGTAAAAAAATGTTGTTTGACATGAATTCAGCCTCGAGTTTAACAGCTGATAAAGATTTTAAATTTCGATTGATTGCTTCAAGAGATTTAGAACCTGACAAGGATGTTAAAGGAGAGTGAAGGGTGTTGTTTCTTATGAATGTATTTTTGTATAATTAAATTTTTATGATTTTATTTGTGGATTTAAATTTAATATAATTATGGTAATTATATTACCTAAAAAAAAAAAAAATCGTGCTCTAATCTGAAAGTTGCAACAAATTATGGTTCAGAGTTATATTTTGACAATTAATTTTGTATATGGTTCAGGCAGGTTCCATTGCAAGATTGTTCGAGAAATATACACTGCCATTTGTGCAAGTAAGAAATTATCAGTTCTGCCAGCTGTCATTTCGTTTTGGAGTTAGTAGTATCGATACATTTATTGTTATGAATATTTACTTTTGAATTTGATTTTTAATATGTTTAAAAAAAAAAATGATGAATGATTTGTGTTTATT